TGGGGGGGCTTATGGGGGGGGGGGCGGGGGAGCCGTGCCCACGCCAGGATGTGGCCTGCTAGGTGGGGCCACGAGCTGTGGAGGGGGCGGGATGCGGCCTGGTGTGAGGGTTGGAAGCCAGGAGGTAGAGATGGCGGCCTGCCGGGGGGCGGGGTGGGAGCCGCGGTGGGGCTGGCCTGCCAGGGGTGCCAGAAGCCGCGGGGGGAGCTAAGAAGTTTGCTGCTTGCTGCTTGCTTCTGGCTGCCGTTCACTCCTCCCCCAGGTACGTGCTGCACACTCGTCTGAGGAGCAGCCCAGCACTTAAAGGGCCAGTTTCCTTTTTTCTTTTTCTTTTTTGCTTTACCAGCATCAGAAATTTGCCGGTTTCTACAGTTTTCCAGATGCTTACGTTCCAGATAGTGCAGGTTTTACTGTACTATATAGCAGTCTATGTAAGTACAGCAGTCAATAGATTTTCAGTATAGGTTGGTGTTTATGTGATTATCACTTATTTGCATCAGAGTGCCCAGGAAATGGATCTCAACAGGTGCTACTTAAGAACACAGAACGTAACACATTTTTAGATGGGAGGATAAAATAAAAATAAAACGCTGGGTCCAGGGCACAATCAGCTGGGCTGTGTTAGTAAATCATACCAGTGCAGTGTTAATACAGAAGCATCAGTTGCTCTTCTGGCAGTAGGTTTGTGCCATTTGAGACGTGATTAATTATTGAAAATCAGCCTGCTCTTCAGCCTGGCTTTTCACTTCCCACAAATCAAATTACTGAGGAATTTATTGGATCAGGAATGTCGTTAGTTGTTTTCCTTTGTGTTCAAGTGTTGCCAGGTTAAATAAGAAGCCACAAAATACTCCTGGCCTCCCAGCACTAACTATACAACATGGGGAAAGCCAGAGGGCAAGTGAGAACAGAATGAAATAACGAAGAGGAATGGAAATCACTCCAACACATAGTGGCTCCCAGCCACCAGCCCTCCTGAAGTCGGCTGTTCAGATCTTCCAGGCCTTGCCTAAGTTCTCACCACTCCCCAGAGGTTTGTCCTGCCAAAGGAGCTCAAGGTCACAGAGCACTTTACCCTGTGAAACATCTAATGAACCACTCACAAACTGCTTGAGAATCTGACCAGAGTCGTGGCCACAACCGTGTCCCCAGCTCAGAGAGGAGACGGGCAGCCCAGAACCTCCGCTGGTAGAAATCAGTGCAGCTCCACTGACGCAGACAGTGGCAGCAGCAGAGACATGGTTCCTTAGTCCCATCCAATCTACGTAGCCAGCCAGCCAGGGCACAGAATCGGGAGAGCGATACACCTAGCAAGACAGGTTCAGGGCATTACCCTTACAGGGACATGGCTTTCCCCATGTTGTGTAGTTAGTGCTGGGAGGCCAGGAGTATTTTGCAGCTGCCTATTTAACCTGGCAACTCTTGAACACAAGGAAAACAACTAAGGACATTCCTGATCCAATGAGCAGCAGCAGCCAGGGCCACGTACCACCAGCCATGGTGCACCGAAGGGCTGCTCCTTGCACTGCTGGATGGTATCAGCCTAGGACCTGGGGTTTGGTCCCCACACTTCCCTGCAAACGATGCTTCTGGGCAAAATCTGACTGCCACAAGTGATAGCTAGGACCTCCACCAGGCGGGGCTGGGAGCAGGGCTGTGGATGGGTGCAAAAGCTGTTACCAGCCCTGTGAGTTCACAAGGCTGAGCATGGAGTAGCCTTGGGCCACCTCTGTGGGTTCGGGTGGCAGTGGGTGAGACTTGGGGGATAACCAAGGCTATGCCTAGACTACATGGCTCCGTCGACGGAGCCACATAGATAAGTTTACTAGACATAGGAAAATGAAGCGGCAATTAAAATAATCGCTGCTTCATTTACATCAAAATGGCCGCTGCGCTGTGCCGATCAGCTGTTTGGCGGCACAGCGGGGCAGTCTGGACGCTCCATGGTCGACAATGGAAGCCTTTGTCAACCACTCCAGTAAACCTCATTTCACAAGGCATAACGGGGTGGTCGACAAAGGCTTCCGTTGTCGACCGCCGAGCGTCCAGACTGCCCCGCAGTGCCGCCAAACAGCTGATAGGCACAGCGCAGTGGCCATTTTGATGTAAATGAAACAGCGATTATTTAAATCGCCACTTCATTTTCCTATGTCTAGTAAATTCATCTACATGGCTCCGTCGACGGAGCCATGTAGTCTAGACATACCCTTAAAGGTTGCAAAAGTGCAGGAGGGGGCAGATTGATGGAGTGAGTGTTTTGTCACCTCTCCTCCCCAAAGCAGGCGAAGCTTAGTGGTTTGCCTGAGTTTCCTTTTGGGCTTTCCGGATCCAAGCATGATCCTCTTCAAAGTCAACCAGGCGGAAGAGTCCGCTGCAAGCCCTTGTGCTCAACCAGCCAATTCCTGCATACCTCTCAGGGTGGTCTGGTGGGTGGGAGAGGAGAGTGTGAATGGCTATGGAAGCCGCAGACCCCGTCTAGTCTCAGCCACAGACGGTCATGCATGGGACACCAAAGGGCAGGCAGGAGCGTCCTGTGAAGGACGTGTGCAAAACCCATACAGACCCTGCTGTCCAGTTGCTTCGCTACCAGGTGCCCTGCCCTCGTGTGCCTCTCGGGAGCTGGGGAGCAGTGCAGTGACTGAGGTGACCTCTTGCTGGCTCCCTAGGAGCCCAGGCTGGAAGACAGCCATTCCCTGCAGGAGTTGTGGTCAAAAGTGGAGATGGCCAGAGGAACGAAGCCAGGCTCCAGAGTCCAGACCCAGGCCTGATCTTCCCCACAGCTGGAGGGTTCCAGGGTAGCAAAGTGGACATGAAGGGTCACTGGGGTGACTTAGATGCCCTGCCTCATCTTACTTCCTGTAGAGGTGGGGGGAGCTTCCCCTGCTGTGACATGGGTGCATGCAGCAGCAAGTTCCTTCCTGCCACACTATAAGCTGAAGGTATGTCTTGTGCCCCTGGCTGACCTGTTACAGGAGGGGCTCTGCGGGGCGGGGGAGGGGCAGGAACTGAACTGCCAGGAGAGGCATCTGAAGCCATTAAGTGGCCAAGCAGTCGCTGAACATTGCCTACAAGTGTCCAAAGCAAGGGGCTGCGGGTTGCTGCTGTTCCGGGTTTGGTGGCGCACAAGGGCGGGTCGATTAGCAGCTTCAGTCTCTCACCTCTCGGGGTTGCGATAACACACACAGGCCCAGCTGAAGCAGGGTGCTCCCAAGCCGATCAGCCAGCATTTCTCCAGCCT